CTTGAATTTACCATTTTTATTTTCAGATTCTGAATCTTGAACCACCCTGTATTTGTTCCAATTGAATGTCAGTAGATAGTGAATCGAAATTCTAGAAAGGTTTATGTGAACCGCTTTGACCGATGATGAATCACAAAAAATCCCAAAGTTGATTGATTTTGAACTCCCTATAGCTCTGTAATCATTCCCGCTAGATCTCAAGTGTGATGCATTGATGATAACAGCTCTTTAGGGAAAATCTGAAAATGCAATGGAATACAGGGTGTACCATTTGAAATAACAAAGTTGATGCTACTTATCGTTAGAAGCGGCAACGCCGCAGAGCTGAAAATAATTCAGATTGATGTCCCCCTCGAAAATGTAGTTGACGTGTTTCAGATTTTTTTCATAATCCGGCTTCTGCGACCTACAAAGCCTCTATTTGTTTTCAAAGGGCCACCCTGTATGTACAGGATGAACAACTAAGAACGGCTGTCGGCCATATCTCAGCAACGAATAATTATACAAGTTTGAAATATAATAAATCTAATGGTATACATATCATTACACGATGTAATAGAGAAACTCAACTTCAACAGACCAAGGAACAACGCAACATGATATAGCTTTTCGCCTGGTGGGTGACGCCACACTCACTCATTCTTTGACATCATTGGAACACCGTAGAAAGGTCAGCGACCTTTCACTTTTCTATCGATACTTCCACGGGAAATGTTCTTCGGAAATCTCTGCAATCATCCCTTCACTAGCAATACCAATCAGACGAACTAGACAAGCCCAGTCAGCACATCCTTTCGTTGTCAACCTCGAAAGATGTCGAACAGCACTTTATCAAGACTCCTTCATCCATAGAACGGCTAGGCTCTGGAATTCATTGCCTGTGGAAGTATTCCCAACAACATATAATCTCCAAAAATTCAAAAAAAATTCCAATACCTACCTCCTGTCCCTATCATCTCTAGGAACGCACGATGTTCTTTGAACATTATAGGGATTCCCTTTCGTGCGCTCCAATCGATGAAAAAAAAAAAAAAAAGAAACTTCGTTTTCAGGATCCTTCATCTACCTATTTGAGTGTGATAAGCTTCAATCAACGTATGTCTTAGAAATTTTTTTTTCGCTTGGAGCGCACGAAAGGAAATCCCTATAATGTTCAAAGAACATCGTGCGTTCCTAGGGAGGATAGGGACAGGAGGTAGGTATTGGGATTTTTTTTAACTTCTGGAGATTGTATGTTGTTGGGAATAGTTCCTCAGGCAATGAATTCCAGAGCCTAGCCGTTCTATGGATGAAGGAGTTTTGATAAAGTGCTGTTCGACATCTTTCGAGGTTGACAACGAAAGGATGTGCTGACTGGGCTTGTCTAGTTCGTCTGACTGGTATTTCTAGTGAAGGGATGATAGCAGAACATTTCCCGTGGAAGTATCGATAGAAAAGAGAAAGGTCGCCGACTACTACTATTTCAACTCTCTCAATACTAAAAAATATTCAGTTGGTTGAAAAATAACCCTTAAGAAAGTATAGCATCCTGAGATTATGGCACACAGATAATAATGTCACATTTTTGGAATGTACGCCACTGACTGGCAGAGGCTGACCAGTAAGATGTACAGAAGAATGTATAGGTCTCCGCTGTGTAATAAAAGTTTATCGCGAAGTCCGATTGTGTGGTGGTGAACAAAAAAAAGGTAGAAACTGTTGGAAAAAACGTCACGGTCGTGTGAACATAAAAACTGATTTCCTCAATCAAGAAGTAGACACGCTAAGTCATACTGTCATAAAAAGGCATTTATGCTGTAACTTTCGAAGAGTGAGCGGTTTTTGCGAGAAGTTGAGTAGGTATATACTGATTTTTGCAACATATAGAAAATACCCATAATCTGAACGTTTGCGAAGCTATATTCAATTACTATATGAACTTACAATAAGTAGGAACTTACCATTACTTGCTAACGAACTGAAAACTTTCATTCTAAATCGTTAGCATGTATATCAACCGAAAAAAATTGCTCTATTCTATTCTAGAAACCATAGGAATGGAAAGTGAGAATTTTCTACTTCGCCCCGTATCTCAAGAACATGAAGGACTGTGGAAATTCTATTTGTGGCATTATCCGTTTCACTAAAAAAGGAGAGAGTAATGTGAAAACTGCAATACTCTATCTCCAGAGATAATTGAGATATCGCGTGAAAGCATAGAAAACTGGACACACTGTACAGGGTGGCTGGAACTCGAGCCTCATCATTGGGATCTCGTGAACCGTGAGAGATACAGGGTCGGTTAAATTATGGCAAAGTTGCGCAATTTCATGCCTAACAAAATGCCGTTCTGAAACTTGGAAAATTCCGAATACTTTCGGAGATATCCGAAAAAATTTCGAAATTCCATAAAATCGTTTTTATTTTTTTTCTGGCGTTATTTGAAGATAAGTTGAAAATCAAAATATAAAAAAACTTTCCAAAGACAAGCTTCTATACAAATGCACTAGAAAGGAAAAAATGAATTCTTTTATGTTCAATGTAGATTATTCTGTAAGTAACAGAATCAAAAGCTTGCCGCGTATACAAAATAGGAGATCTGGCGTGTTAAGTTTTTGAATCTGTTACAGAATAACCTCAAAACTACAAACAAACATAATAGTTATTTATGTAATAAGGATCATAAAGACGATCATTATGGTACAAGTCGTGAATGTTATCGGGCGAGGCGTAGCCGAGTCCGATAACACGGCGTGTGCCATAATGATTGTTTATGATTCGTATTACATACAAAATTTTATCTGATGGCATTTATATCAATACATTTTCGAAAAATTAAAAACTGCATTTTCGACATGTCACAATGACAACTATTTTTAAAGGAGTAAGTATTGTGTAGTTTCAAATATTAGTAGGTGAGTGAGCTGTGCTTTGCCATTATATTAATATTACAAATTGTAGTAATTGTTCTTTCACCATTTATAATAAATAGTTTTGTACATAGTTATGCATTTTGAATAAACTTTTTTGATCAAACCATTACATGTTTTCCTTATAGAATTTCATTATGGTACTTAGTACCATAATGAGCTTCCTTATGTCATCAAAATTGAGTGACATAACGTTGTCATGCCATCAGATAAAAGAATTTATTTTTGCCTTTTTAGTGCATTTGCATAAACGCTTGTCTTTAGACAGTTCTTTAAAATATTTTATGTCGAACAATTAGCCGAGTTAAGAAAATAGTCGAGATGACTAAAACTGTTGCAAACAACATTTTTTCTACAAACGTCAAAAAATATAGTTGTAAAGTAAAAATATGCTCAGCTTGATATAAAAAATAGTGTTGAACTGGCTTGAAAGGCCTCCTCCTATTCTCCCTAGGTACGCACGCTTGTTCCACGAACATAATAGGAATTTCCTTTCGTGCGCTCCAAGAGATAAAACAAACTTATTGTTATGCGCGAAGTTGCATTGTTTTGTGCAAGGTATCATGGTTACGTAGGAAAACTGAAAAATAGTCGCAATTTGTTATCAATGCGCGAACCTTGTCATTTTTTGTCGTTTGTAGAAAAATTGCGTACCCAGTGTAATAATTAATCTAAGTACTTCTATATTCCAACGAAAGTGTTAATCGGTGTAAATTCAAAGATTTCAAGTTTCTGAAAAAAGTACGTACCTAGAATTATGAATAATTCGAAGATAGATGATTGAATTCAACGAAGAGGATTTCAAAGAACAGTCTGAATTTGAAGAATGAAGTCTGAAACATGAAAAAAATACTGTGAATTGAGAGAGAACAATCTGAATAAAAATAGAGAACCCAACAATGGCCTTCATACACGTTTCCGTGAAATACGAGTATGTGCGTAATAGCCTACTTTGGTGAGAAATGCGACACCCAAAATGCGAAATTCACCGAAAATGATAATTCTTCGTGGAAATGCGTGCGACCTAGAAGCTACATTATTCAAATTCGGTTGACAAAATGAATAATTCAAGACAATATGGTAAAAGAGAACGAGAGAATAACTGGAGTTACTATACTGTATCCTGTGTTTCACGAAACTCCAGCCAACTGTACATTTATAGGGGGACTTAAATTGAACTAATTATAACTACAGGGTAATTGAAAATAATGTAACCAATCCTGAGGCTGATGCCTTCTCAATATGTCACGTAACATAATTGTTTCTATAAGTATATAGATGAAGTGTTCCGGATTTTTGTACGTTGATTTCGAGAGGTGATGGAGACCTCGATCGAGACATGTAAAAGGGATTATTTCTTCTCGATGAACATACCTTCAAAGTTGCATTATAATTCGATAGGAAGGCATTGATTTTCACAATGAGAGTTTATCATTCGATATCCATGAGAATACAGTACAAGTATTTCCTTAAATATAATAATAATAATAATGAACAATTATTTCTTCAGATATTTCGGGATGTTCTCCTCTCCTCAATAAATAAAGCTATGAGTATTATTTCAATATATGAGTTGGAGTGAAAGGAAAAATCAGATAATTCTACCGGAAATTGTCGCTGCGTTAAGAAATTTCACTGTAACAGATCCTATAAAAAAGAAATGCTCGATTCCACCTAATTCTTCAACCTAACAACACTCCGCTATTTTTTTTGCATTTTGGTGCAAATCGTCTGATTGGTCCTTATAAACTATACATTCTTAATGAAATATTACTCATATTTTTATTCATAGAAATCAGGAGAGGAATCCCAAAAAATCTGGAGAAACTTTTTTTTTTGTTCTGATATCAGAAGTCATCATCACGTCGTTGTGAATGTTATAGAAATCTATACTATTTTACAAGCGAATAACCATAATACTCAGTGAACGTAGTGTCTTAGCTGTACTGAGATTTCATTTTCCAAAGGCAAATATTTGAAATTTTTGGTACAATTCTGAACTTCGGATATTTTTGCGGAACTCAATTCTGGAGAACCTTGTATAAGGTATCGAGAAACTTCAACGTAGACAAGAAATAAATTGTTACTCACCACAGACAGGATAGGATATCAATTGTTCTTACCTGAAATAAAAATAAATAAATTTCAATACATACCCATATTAAACACCCGGTATATCACAATACGGTGTTATCACAATCGATAACCAAGAACGAGCAAACCAAAATATAATAATTAAACATATAAGTTTTATTGATATTTATTACTATAGATTCCACGCTTTCAAGACGCAATATCCCAAAAAATATTAAAGATATTGAAACTTCAAAACAAAATCATGAATCAAATGTTTTTCTATTTCGAATGGTGCCCTCCAAACATTGAATCCCAATTCTATATACGGGGAGATGGTGAAAATGTTCAATTATTTTCGAATATGTTTTATTGCATAATTTGAAAGTGAAAGAGTGATTTCTCCTGATATAGAAAATATATAATTTTTATACATTCCATGGAATAATCGAAAGAATATAACTTGAAATTCATTGAAATTGTGGTCGTAAAATTATCTGAATTCTTACATTTCATCATGGCCCACAAGATCATGTTATTCGAAGTCAGGTTTCTCTTTCAAAACGTGAAATTTCGCCCAGTTGAAGTGTGGTCCCCCCTCCAACTCCCCCAGAACTGGGTTCACATCTTTTGTAGACCAAGAAAGGAATAAAGTGTCTGAAAAGACAGGAGCATGCCAATTTCCAGATGATTTGATTCCTTATTTTCGTCACAATTTTAGATAATCTTTTTTTAACGAACTTATAGTAGTCTCACGACCGCGAGGTCGTGGGTTCGATTCCCAGCACGAGCAAGGAACTTTTTCAATATTTTATTAACGAATTGAATATTGTAAAGTTTCGGAGCATCGGCTGGGGATAGTCCTGCACGATTCGCTGTTGCGTTCGAATTAACAGTGCTGCTCCTAAAGTGGCGCCTGGAGTTAGTAACATAGCCTACACAGAACACGCAGAAAGAGATGATGATGTGGTTGTGAGCATCAGAGAAGAAGTAGGACGGTGTATGTTGGTGGGTGTGGAAAACTACCAGCTGAGCGTGAGAGCGGGCCAATGCTTTTTAGTGGACCTCGGTCTCTAACGGGGGTTAACGACAATAGCTAGCAGGCCTGCTACTGCAGCAAATGGTAGTGAGTACATTACTAGCCTACAAAACACAGCCGAGAAAACTCTGAAAGAGAGCTGATGGGCGGTGCCTGAAAAGGCACATTGAAAACACCTTGGGGCTTGTAAAAAGGTCCCATTAAGGACTAGTTGCTGACGTGCAAACGTCCCCCACCAGTACCAGTAGTAGTTTTTTTTTTTCGGAAGTGCTCGCAAAAGGTTGGACCTATAATCCCGTGGTGGAACTGCGAGCACTAAGAAGGGACAAATATCGATGGATCCTCCTCTTGAAGGTAAATAGATTGTAGTTCGCTGGAAATACATCTGTGGGTGAGGAATTCTACAGTGAAGATGTCCTACAAAAGAAGGAGTTCTCGAAATATGTTGTTCTAGATGTTTCAATTTTGACTGCATATTGGTGTGAGTCTTGAGCCAGCCGCGTTTGGCGAACAAAGTTCATTCCAGGAGGGACAGCTGATGACAATTCAACAGAGCATCGTCCATGATAGTAGCGATAGAAGAGTGATAGGTCTGCAACGTCTCTCCGATGTTGTAAAGTTTCCAGTGATCTGGTCAGAGTTGGGTCATGGATGAGCCTGATGGCTCTTTTTTGAACCGACTCCAGCAACCTCAGGAAGTGTTTTGGAGCTGATCCCCAGACGTGCGAATAGTACTCAAGGGATGGTCGAATCTGGGCTTTGTAGAGTGTCAGAAGCTGTTGTGAGGTGAAATACTTATTCGCGCGGAAGAGGAATCCCAGCTTTTGAGAGGAAGCTCTGGCTATATTGGCAACATGGTCATGCCAAGATAAACTGTCAGATACCGTGATGCCGAGCATTGATAGTGATGAACTGATTGGTAAGGTTCTTCCAGTCATAATTGTATCAGGACCCGCACGGTTAGCCTCATTAGAAAAAACTGTTGCTTGAGTCTTCAAAGCGTTGAATTGTACGAGGTTCAAATTGCCCCATTGTTGGATCCTTTCCGAATCGTCGTTGACGGTCTACAGTAGATTTAGCTCGGAGAGTCTGTATTTTGGGACACATGTGTATTTGAAGAAAAAGTCCTATTTTGATCCCAACAATATGTTCTTGAGATATTTACATCGAATTTTGATCACCCTGTACAAGAAGACAGCCTGTGAATTATTTCAAGTTGGAATCATGAACTCAATGGACATATTTTTTCTCTCTCAACTCAAACTCCGAAATCAGGATCAATTTATAATAATTTTATCTCATCAATACTCCTGTGTAATTTGAGAGACTGGCTCGCATTTTTGTGACATTTGGTTTTTCTGTTGCTGACACAGGCACGATCATTTTTCTCATCGGCGGAACTTGTTTTTTTTTAAATTGGCTCATTGGTCTTTCAACTCTCGTCCCTTTTATCTATCATTTTATCGCTTGGCAATAATTGACAGCCTGACTTTATGCAGAATTCGTCCCTTTTTTATGTGAATGGAAATTGATAACGATAAAAGAACTTGATAGTCAACATCGAAAAACACTTTGAGTTGGAATCGGCCATGCGAACTACCATTCACAATGAGAATCGCTATGCCCACTATTGATTTTGTTATTAGAAGCATGAAGGTTGTATGTTTCCACGAATGATGAAGTCAATTTGCAAGCGAACCTTCATCTACATTGCACCAAGGACGTATAATTCACTTCCTGAAGAACTAAAATCAACAGCTTGCTTCAAAACTTTTGAATACAGATCAAAAAAATGTATACATGAAAATTCAAGAGAATCTGAATAATGCTTCTTTACATACCTTTGATCCAAGAGTACTTACATACTTCGTTGTTGATAAAATGTGTTCATGAATACTTATACATCGATTTTATTTTCAATTTCATTTTCATTTTTATATATTTGATATTTTATTATTATTCATCTCAAGTTCATTTTATTCTGCATGCTGTTGTTGTTAAAGTTGTTCTGGACTCTGTTTTGTTCAACTGTTGAGATGCATCATCTTATTTCCAATCTGAATGTAATAATAGATCAGATAATCTGGAAACAAGTATTTATGTACCTATCGAGTATCTTGCATTTATTCATTTCAATTTTTAAATTGTTTCTATGTACCCTGTTTGTTCTGGAATGAATAAAAATGTATTATCCTTTACCTTTCACTGATATTATGAATTCACAGCTTTATTTTCCTACAGAGTAGGGTTAAGGTTGATATGGTCTTATTTTCATTTCTAGTGTAGCCAACATATAATTTCCATCATTTCAAGATATAACACGATCTAACACAACCCAGCTGAATTAATCTCTGCCCTACACAGTATCTTTCTGCGAATTACATCTGAAAAAAATATTCCTCGCGAGGATTTATCGTGATTGGTGTACGGGAATCACCTTCACGTATATTTGGGCAAAACCAATTCGTGCTTCTCGGGACGCTGTTATTTCACGCGCCAGCAAGTATGAACCATGCCAGCAAATCTGGACCCAGTGGCTCCACGCACCGCTCTACCCGAACGCTGTTATATCACGCGTCAGCGTGTATGGACCCTGTAATTTCACGCACCGCTTTACCCGAACGTTGTTATTTCACGCGTTAGCGTGTATGGGCGCTGTGAATTCACGCATCGATCTACCCAAACGCTGTTATTTCACGCAACCGGCGTTATACCGTAGCTGATCCAGTAGAATCTCACCTTCAGACTAGCCCTTCTGCAGAACCTCGTCCTCTGCAGATAGTATTTGTACACGTGCGGCGGCATGGACCGTTTGGTCTCCTCTCCGATCCAGAGGTCTTGGTGGCGTCCTCCAAGGGCCGGAGAGACGGGACAAAAGGGCGACCTGGGTGGATAGTAGTCCTTGATGAGGGGGCAGCGGCTGCTCATGTCAGATGCGAAGCACTCATCGCGTAGTGTCCAAGTGTATACACGGTGGTCGCGTGAAGAGTCACTCGAATAACGTGTCGCGATAGTATCGAAGATTCACACCGATTGCTATTATGTGGTGAATAATGTGAATAATGGACTCTTTCGGACGCAAGCTTTGAGTAAGAAATAAGGAATAGTATAGTTTTGTACAATACTTTATCTTTCACTAATTTGTTCTTCCAATACAACTGATATTTCAATATTGCTCATCCAGATGCAAAGCACTCATCGCGTGGTGGACAAGTGTATACACAGTGATTGCATGAAGAGTTACTCGAAGAACGATAGATAGATAGATAGATATTTATTCATCATTTAAGTTTACATGTTAACTTATCAGACTAGTCAAGTTTCATTCTCTCCCCATTCACAAAACAAAACATTGTACATACATTTCCACCCAATCTCTCACACATAGTCGTGGATATTGTCATATTTGGACGAAAGGTAGGAGTAAGAAATATGGAAATGAATAGTATCATTAACTAATCTGTTCCTTCAATACAACTGATATTTCACTATTGCTTATCCAGATGCAAAGCACTCATCGCGCGATGTACAAGGGTATACACAGTGTTTGCGTGAAGAGTCACTCGAAGAAAGAGTGGCGATGGTATCGAAAATATAGACCGATTGCTATTATGTTTTTTATGTTCTGGTTCCCACGAAGAAGGATATCCTGTAATGTTCAGAGAACATCGTGAGAACCAAAGGAAATAAGGAAGGAATTGGTGTTCTTTTTGGATTTCTGGAGGTTATTACCTCGGGGAACACCTCCCTTGGCAATGTGTTCCAGAGCCTGGCTGTTCTTTGAATGAACGAGTCTTTGGAAAGAGATGTTCTGCAGGTCTCCAAAGTGACCACGAAGAAGTGCGAAGCCTCAACTCGACGGGTTAATCTCGCGGGGACTGCCATGCCCATGAAAATATCTATAAAATAGAGCCAGATCGCCAACTTTCCTACGGTGTTCCATAGAAGTGTGTGAGTTTGTGAGCAAGGCATCACCCACGAGACGAATTGCCCTTTTTGGGACAGAATCCAACAGTTTCAGGATATGTTTGGGTGCTGCACTCCAAATATGGAAATAGTATTCCAGGACATGTCGGATCTGTGCCTTATAGATCATAAGCAGCTGACTGGAAGTGAAATAACTCCTGGCCCGAAACAGAAAATCAAGTTTTTTGGGATGCACTTTTAGCAATTGATCTCACGTGATTTTCCCAAGAAAGGTTATTGCTGATAGTAACACCAAGCATCGAAATGAATGTCTTCAAAGGTATGGTTACTCCTCACAAGCTCATGTTGGGCACAGTAAGATAGGCTTTTCTAGAGAAAATGCATGCTTGTGTTTTGTTTGCATTGAAATCTACCAAGTTAATGGATCCCCATTCGAGAATTGTTGCCAAGTCCATATTTATGTTGTCAAAATTTCTTCCTCGTTCGTTTCTGAATTGCCTGGCTGGTATCGGAGTCCTGGATGAGAGGGTACTATCATCCGCGAAGCTGTGTACTGAACATGAAGTTGCTTTCAACAAATCGTTGATATGGAGTAGAAATAGTGTTGATGCTAGAATTGATCCTTGCAGAACACCAGCATTCATCATAAGAGAGTCAGATGAAACTCCGTCGACCACTTCATGGAGAGACCTGTTTGAGAGAAAACTAGCTAGCAGAGAACATAGCTGGAGAGGCAAGCTATGAGATGGAAGCTTGGCGAGGAGGCCGTGGTGCCAGACTCGATCGAATGCCTTGGAGATATCAAGTGCCACGGCTGAGGTTTCACCATGTTTCTCAATAGATTGCTGCCATATATGTGAGACATAAGCGAGCAGGTCACCAGTTGATCTCTGATGACGGAAGCCATATTGCCTATCGTTGATAATACCAGAATGTTCCAGGTATTTCATGAGCTCGATGTTGATAGCTTTCTCCATGATCTTTGAAATAATAGATAGCAGTGCGATCGGTCTGTAGTTGCTAGGTAGGGTCTTTAGTTGATCTATGGTTTCAACTGACTTTGCATATACCCTTTGTTGATTTACGGAACATATCCACAATCACTGCAGTCCGACTCTGCGTTCTTCTGCCAGTTTACTGCCACCTGTTATCGCTCAGCGGCAATTTGATACCTTGTTCTCGTACTTCCGTGTGTCACATAAATTTTTCCTCGACGTCTATTCACCTGCCGAATCACCTATGGCCGCGATAACTTGCGAACAATTCTCGCAAGGAATGAGAATTGAGAATGGAATACGTTTGCCATTGTGTCGTGGAAAGCTGCCGCTTTCAGAATGAATTTGCTTGCCTTGGGAGAGGGGAATGTCGACCTCGCACAGGAGAATTGGTTTCCCAACTTCGGAGTAGTGATATACAGATTATACATCAATCCCGAAAAATCACAATTCACGTGATTTAGTTATGGATTTTTAACGGATTCGTAATTCATCATTTTACATTAACACAAAAAATAGTCCGACGAAATTAGTCGAAAAACATATTGCGTGAAAAAGAATGTTTCAAAACGAATGATAGAGATGGTGGCCAGTCAAGAAGTTTGAGGCCTACTGAAATATTCATGTTGTTTACCAGACAACAACGACCTAATGAAGATTTATTGTCAACCAGCAATTTTTGGATATCAATTCAATAATGTTGAGAGGTATCTTGCAAAAATTTGAGATTGTGGGTGGTTTTAAATAAGCATCCGAGAAGATACTATATCATACGATATACAGGGTGTTCCTTGATGATATGCTAATATTCAAGGGGCCGATTCTTCGACCCATTTCAAGAATAAAACTTCATATGAAGGTATGTCGTAAACGTCCTAACTTTTGAGATACAGGGTGTCAATTTTGAAAGTATGCGTAGATTATTTTTTTGTCCACCCTGTATAGCTTTTCGTGATGGCAAAATTCAATCTGCTATGTGACTGAATCGGTTTATGACAATTTCAAAATGTTACATATTGTGGTTATCCAGTAATGGATGTACTGAATGGAGTACTCGGACATCAAAATTTCCAGTCTGGTTTCGTTTTTACGATTTTTATCGAAAACGAAGCGTTCTATCGAGTAACAACAGGAAGATCTTTTTTGTACATATATAATTGAAGCGTCATTGCTCACTTTTAAGTAAAATATAAACAATAATATTCCTTTTGGGTGTATGATAAATTGACATTCATCATACAGGGCGTGGAAAGAAATTCTGAATTGAGACTCTATCACGAATCTGCGATTAGAGGTCTATAAAAATCACAAGTTTCCATCGTTCAAGTTTGAACCCCCTGATTGGGTATGAAAGTGTTGAAAAGGAATATTCTCAGATAAATTATGAACATACAAAAAAGGATATATATTTATATGAAGCAATACTGGTAGAGAAAATGAAAATTTGTGTATATCAGAAAATGCACGTTGATGCATAAAAGACATGTACCAAATTTCATCGCGATGTATACAATATTGTCTCAGTTATTATAAAAGACTTTATCACCCTGTATCTCAAAAGTTAACACTTTTAGGACAAACGTTCATATGAAGTTTTCTTCCTAAAATGAGTCAAAGAATCGCCCCCTCGAATATTAGCATGTCTTTAAGGAACACCCTGTATACAAAGCTTAAAGATTGGTGATGAATGATAGAATTGAGAAATGTATTAAAATTTGGTCAGTGGCTTGATCTCAAAAGTTGTATTGATTTAGTCGTCAATGGTTCTCAATTTAATTACTCCCTGTATGTTGATCAACATGTCACGTCATTCCGATTCAAGGATTTTACCCTTTTGAAACTGATATCCTTGTATGGAAATTCAAAAATGGTGAATGCGAACGGTTCTAAAAATGGCGGATGGACGACCGTCCTTTGAAGAAATGGTGAAAGAGCAGGTACCCTGAAATGGCGAAGGCGCAATATTATTGCATTATTGGCATTTCAGGTTGAGTATTCTCTGATTTGAGATCGAATGCATAGCTACATGGTCGATACTTCTGATACATTCTTTTGATCACTAGATGTCTGTATTCAACACTTGTGTTTGAACAAAGAAATTGAGATCTATTCATCAAGAATTATCTTCCATTTTCATGTTGGAAACGGAAACAGATTGGTTCCCAAAACATCCAAGATAAATGAAATTCAATTATTTTTCAAAACACCTTTATTCTCCTTCCTCAAACATTTTCCAAACAAGGATTTTCTGACTATCAATTGAATTTTTCTTCTTGTTTCCGAATAGAGACGATTCAAACGCGGAGACATTTTGGGGGAAATCATCAGATTTATCCTTACATACTACAGAAATACGGGTGTCCCAGAGATTTATGGCCATCAGTTTATCTGGGTTATCTAACATCCAAAAAATGTCAAGCAATGTCAATTGAAATTCAGATATCGTCATTTGTAAATCAGAATGCAACAATTATTGTAATTCAGACTACATTATCTGTGATTCAGATAAGCATCTTGAAATTCAGAAAATATCAATTTTGATTCGGATTAGACAAGTGAAATTCAGAAAACTTCAATTGTAAATCAGATCAGTCGAATGAAAATTAGAAAGCGTTAATTGAAATTTAGATATCGTCAAATGTAATTGAAAAAGTGTCAATTGTGATTCAGACTGATGGATTGTAGGAAATTACTAATGTAGAACCAGCGACTTAAGAATCATTGAATTATTTTTATTTATGGTCAATTGGAATTCATTTTAATAGGTCACATTATGAAGGAGTTATAAATGAAAACGCAATTTCCGAAAAAACATTGCTTTGTAATTTATCACATTCATTATACTTGGCTCAACAAGCGAAGGTGGTACAAATGAAGCTTTCTGAATTTCAATTAACTAATCTGAATTACAAGTGACCTAGTCTAAATTACAATTAACTCGTTCTGAATTACAAATGATACCTTCTGAATTACAAATGACACTTTCTGAATCTCAATTGCCGCTTT